AGCTATTCATTAACTGGTGACAAATATCCATCAACTAATACAAACGGATGGATGGATGGACAAGCAAGACAAATGTTAGACCACCACATGGCTGACCCAGCGTCGCTCGTCTTTTATTCACTGTAAGCCAACGACACTGGGAGCCTGCAGTCACCTTGCTGCATATGCTCTGTCAGAGGCAGCTAGCCTGACAATTATCACTCTAGATAATTTATCTCTTTCCTTTAGCACAGCAGCTAATGGATACAGCTGCAAGCGAAAGGAGTCTGCAGGTGCCTGTGCACCTGTGGGAATAAAATTTCAAGCAAAGACATTCACCAGGTCTTGGCATTGTTTAGACCTAAGAGACATTTTATAGTGTAGTCCTATGGGATAAAATGAGAAACCCCTAGTGACTAACGACTAGTATGTTACAGAAATGGCTGTATCTAACTATAGGCTAACTACAAGGGGTTCTATCAAATGCTTGGTACCCTTCAGCCGCGTTTCCAGAGGGGGGGCGCGTCTGGGGTGGCACTGGCTACTCCTGAAATCTGATTGGCCACCCCAAGTGCCACCTCATTATCCTTCTCTCTTCCACTTGCACTGTATACAGGAGCTATTGTGGACTCCACGATACAGGTATCATATGAAACTAGACTACCGAACACATTCTACTGACACCATGTCATGCTAGCATGTCGGGAAGGGGGCTGAATAACACTACAAAGTCAAGCTAACCCTACATTAGTCAGTGCCCCTCTTGTCCTCCTGGAGTCTGGAAATGCCCCTGGTACCCTCAAAGCAACTTTAATTTCAATAATATGTGCTTTGATCCAGTGTAAATATTATTTAACATGTCAAATGAATATAAAACTTATTTTTGTTCTTTTGCATTTTTAAAAGAAAATCTACTTTGTCTACCAATTAAGGCATGATAAATAAAAAATTAACTTAATAAGCCACCTTAAGGCCCTTGTTATAAAGTCAGTTGATATTTTGCTTTAGTAGTGCGTACAGTATTCTTAAACAAATTTTCAGTTCAATTTGCACAAAGTAGGTGACGAACTAGGTGTTTACTGTGTTCTCTCACCCACACGGATCATTCAGTACATGTACTGAGGATGGATCAGAGAAACACTACAACAAAACCTTGCACAGTTGCGGATGCTGCTTTCTTCTTGTCATTTCAGTGAGACAGGGAGAAATATGGGTAATTTTAGTGTCATTTCAGCTGCCGTAAATCACAGGGCATGTCTGATGCAGTGATGCTTAGGAGGAGTAAAGATTACATATTGGAGAGACAGATGCATTTACACCTCTTAAAAGTCTGGGTGCTATTCAGTGTTCAATGCATATCATTGATATTCAGCTTTCCAGCAGCACAAGTTTCAGCACTTCCTGTTAGTTGGCACGACGGCATATGCACACACAGGGAGTGAAGCAAGCAGTGAGTAAGCAGAGGCAGAAAGTGTGTGTGTGTGTGTGAAAGTGAGAGACAGCGAGGCAGAGACAGGGTGAGACAGAGGAGAAGGAAAGGGATGAAGGAGGGATAGTATGATGAGAGAGAAGAAGTGGAGTAATAGGTGGAGATGGAGACAGAGCGAGGGGGGAAGAAAGTGACTAAAGAGAAAAGAGGTAGAGAGAAAAAATGAGGAAGCGAGGAGGATAATGGGAGATGGAAAGAGAGACGTAGAGAGAGAGAGAGAGAGAGAAAGAGAGGGAGAGAGAGAGAGCAGGTGGCCAGCGATATACCAAACCCGCCATGAAATATTCAATCTTTAATCAGACTCCCAGCATTCCCTAACGAGGCGTGAGAAAGATGAATTAGCCCTTCGAGTTTAGGGAGCTGATCCACACAAAGCCATCTCCTGCAACACACACACACCACCAGACACACGTACAGTATCAAAAGCGACTAAAGCCCTTTGTTAGCACCC